CAATGCAAATAGCCGCTCGTCGCACCCGGGTGCAGCAGTCCCTCTGCAGATCGTTTTGGCGTTGGCAAGCTGGTGACTGCGGGGCTTTCACCATGGGAAAACAGTGCTGTCACAGAGGGGCTGATGCCTGTAAGTCGGTGAGAGGTGCAGAAGTTAGGGCAAGCTTTCCAGCTCCACCACAGAAATTCCCGCTTCTCACCCCTTCTGCCTCTTGCTCGTAATGGCTCCAAACAGAAAAGCTCCCAGCAGCGGGACCCTGGCAGGTCAGAAGCAGCACAAGCTCCCACGGGAAAGCTGAAAGTTCGGAGACACCCCTCACCACCTCTCCCCAAAGCTCTCAAAGTGTTCGGTTTGCTTTGGTTGTTCAAACCCAATCTCTGCAGCCGGGAGCATCACGCGCTGATGGAGCCTCCTCTGTGGTGACGGAGGAAAAGTTGTGCACTCCAGAACCATCATTCAGTCAGTCAGCAGGGTTTAATTTGATCTTGGCCAAGCCAACTGAAAACTAATAAACCCCCCACTGTGATTTCTGTCCCTTGGACTGCGCAGCCCCAAGAGGGAACAGGACTCCTACAGGTTCCGATCGCTGGTCCCACTAACGGGTTCACTGATTTAAGGCTCACAAGCCTCTTAGGGCTAATGAGCTAAGCACCAGCAGGTCTGATGAGGCTTTCAATACAAGAATTTACTTAATCCTGTGATGGGGAAGAAAAACCCGCCTGCAGGAAAGCAAGGTGCCGGCACAGGGCACACCGTGCTGCTCGGGGTTTGAAATGGTGTCCCCAGCACTGCAGGGGCGATCTTGCAGCCCAGGAGCAGCCCTGGGCATCCAAACCATACAAAACCCACCGAGATGACTAAAGGATGGATGTGGTGCCCTCAGAATTGACCCTCTACAGGTCCTCTTCTAGTGATCCAGCCTGCTGGTTAATGTAGTCAGAGCCTTCAGGACTAGTTGTGTGTTACCTGCCATTTGCATTACAGCTTGTTGTATGTTCTTCCAAAAAACCCAAATAATTAAATAGAAAGGTGGGGGGAAAATGCTATTTTTAGGCACTTGAAGCTCAGTTCTAAGAGGCTCCTCTGTAATCTGGAATTGCTTTCAAGTTTCAGAGTCAAGATCAAGTTACTTCAGTTTTCTTTTAAATAAGACCTGTGACACAGTGAACAGCCATCACTTGCCAAATATTTTTACCTCTCGAGCACTGATGTATTTCACGGGGGGGGGGTGTATGTTCTGGGGGGCATCTCTTACCTTCTCCCATTTGTATTTATTTGAATAGAGATGGTAAATCAAGTCCTCCCCCCTCCCTGAGAAACCAGGGATGGTCCTTCAAGTACAGGGGGGTTTCTCTTTGCTGGGAATGGGTCTTCTGCACCGAGAAACTGCTGGTGCCCCCTTCTCAGCCTCCTTGTCTCCCTGCAGCAGGAAAGAAATCTCTTTTTAGCCAGTCCTTCCTGAAACCGACCCAGCACAAGTGATTTGGAGTCCTGGGAAGGTGGCCAAACAGGGATCGCCGGAGCGGGTGCTTCGCACCCACATTACAGGGCAGGTTTCGGTCTGTGTTTGCAGGTAAAAGCTACCTGGCCTCAGCAGTACGGCTCCGTCATCCCTCCTGCGGCAGGCAGGAGCTGATCCTGCCCTCCTCCGGTGGTTCTCTTTAGGCTTGCGTGGAAATCCTGGCACGGGGCCCTTGGAGCACAGGCTGTTTGCCTTTCTGCAGCGGCCAGCTTTTCCTGATGCTTCCCAGGCTGTGTGCCTGCACGAAGGGGTGAGAATTTGTGGTAACAGCCCCAGAACTGCTCTAAAAAGAGGAGGGACGGGGCTCCCCTTGCTCTGCAGCTACCACGAGGCGGTATCACCATCCTTGCTTGCTGGTGTCTTTTTGCAAGGTGTATGTTGTACTATATAGAAAGGTCTGCTGTATGGCCATATAGGGTTGTGGGGTTGGTTTTTTTTTTCCCCCTGCATCCGTGTTAGGTTTATTGTGATACCAGTCGACTGTCCAGTGAGGTGCCAGCTTTGGGTACTGCTGCAAAGGAGCTCCGTGGGTCTGGTCAAGTGTCAGCATCGCTCCGGCTATCCACAGAGAATTCACACTGCTCCTTGGCAGAGGCTTCCTAGCAAAACTGCTGTGTCGAAAGTCTAACAAGTAAGGAAACTAAAGTGCTCTCTTAGTAGGTCCGTGATCAATAGGCAAAATTATATTAATGATATCATAATTACATTTAAAAAATACAGTAAATATAAAAATTATGTATTAATTTTCTCAGTTTCAAGTACTTTATTCTTAGCACGCTCTGCTTCTGCCAGTCGTTTGCCCTGCTGTAAAATCCCAGCTCCCGTACCTGTGAGTGCTTGTTAGCTGTGATTCATCCTTCCAAATGGATGCAATCCTGGCATTCCTTGTTTTCCTGGGCTGGGTCAGACAAAACATGTCCTAGTCTTAAAGCCGACTTTACAGTATCGGCCTTAACAAGACTCTTGATTCATGCTGGTGCAAGAGAAAAATAAGGTCTGTGTTGTCGCCTTTTTTGCACGTCACAAAAGTGTCTTTTCATCCCTATTTGTTTCAAAGGACTCATCCTGTCCATTGGATGCAAGTAGGAAGCGTCCCTGGAGGATGTTGCTACCCCTCCATGGGCTCCAAGCCCACGGGGTGCGGGTGTCCCCCCAGCACCTGCCTAGCTCCTGGCAATCCCAAAATGATCACAAGTGACTTTTGATGCCTACATGTGAGCAACTGAGCCAAGATCAAGAAGTCTAAATAGGATGAGGCAGGACTTCTGGACCTGTGCTGCTGTACTCGTAGGTTGTTCTTCAAGCTTCTAGCCAACCTGCTAGACTTTGGTTTAAAAAATCTCAAAACGAGCAGTTTGTGTGGCTTTGTGTTTCCTAACGCATGAACATCTCTGTGGTCCCTCTTGGAAATGCCCTCGTCAGGGCCAGTGCTCTCTGGTGACCTGTTTTGGGCTTCGATTATGGAGTGTAAGTTTTCCAATCAAAAACCTGATTTCAAGCACTTGGCTCCTCAAAAATGACTCCGGAATGCTCGGTCAGGCCTTAGCCCCAGGCCAGCACGAGGGCATTGGCATCTCGGGGCGGTGGGACGGACAGACATCCCTCGGGCACAGCAGGGGGGTTGCGCTTTCGTGCCAGGGACAGCTCAGCATACGGGCTCTGTGCTACCAAGGTGTTGAACGAGCTTGTTCAAAGCTAGGGCATATATACGTGCCCCGCATCTATAGCATAGGATGCCTTCGTCGTGTTTACCTCTTTTTCTGTTCCCTTCAGGTTCTTTATACGTGGTTCCAATGGCAGCAATTCTTTATCCCGGTATTTTGCCTGGGCTCGTGCCGTTATGACCCGCTAAGTGTTGTCTTCAATAGAATAGTAACATTTTTGCAGATTTGTGGAGTTTGGGTAAATATTACAGAAGTCTGTATGCTACATAGCTTCTGAACCACCTGTGCTTGCACTTTTTAAAGTGCTCATCGCTTATAGAAATCAATAGCATTCTTGATTGCCACAAGTCCGGAAAAAAAAACCATCCCCAGTCTCATTTATTAATTCTGCTCCTTTTAGAAAAGAAAAAAATATCAAAATGCTTGCCTTTTCTGCATTAGCATTTCAAGGAAACCGAAACAACTTCAAACTTCTCCACCTAGTGAAAGGTTTTTGGCGTGCCTGCCTTTTATCTATATCGACAACTACGTCTTTGCTCCTGAGCACTCTGCTGACCTGCTTATTGGTTCCAGTCAGCCACTCCTTGGTCGCTTTTCTACCTGTCACAATTGTTAACATACTAGTTATGTTTCCTATTAATGCTATATTCTTTAATTACTACCTTTAATAAGCCAGTGAACCGCAGCGAGCCATTAGCCAGCTGCTTCTTTCCCTAATTAGCGACACAGCCTTTCGGCTCGCCAATAAGGCTGTCGGAGAACTCTTAGGCGGGTATCCAGGCTCCGGGTGCCTTTGCTGCCGTGCCGCATCCCAGCGAGGGGGACATGACCGGCGGGGGCTGCCGGCACCTGGGCGAGCTGGGGAGCCTTCGGCAGAGCCCGGCAGCGAAGCAGGACGGCTTTCCCATAAGGAAATCTGGGAGGAAGGGGGGGTAGATCCAAGGGGAGGGTGGGATTTGCTAGTCTGCCATGAGGTAGAGCTGGTTAACTGCTCCCGGCTCCTCCTCGCAGCAGCCAGAAATGGGCATATTTATTCTCCAGCGCCCTCCACGGCGCTGGAACTCAGCGTACGGTTTCACGATGAGCAGTTGAGGAACATCGGGTAGATGGAGGAAAACAAGAAAACATATCAAATCAAAAGCAGACTGCCAGCAACTCGGCGCGGCAGCTCCTGGCCATGAAGAGTTGCCCAGTGCCAGCCCAGCCACGCAATGAACCAAGGTGAGGAGTGAGTGAGCCAGCATTTCCTAAAGGTATCCAGCGAGAGTAAACTAATTGGACTAAATTCCCTGACGATACCTGGGCCAGCAGACAAGCCACCTCCACGTTTCACCTCCTCCCTTCTCGGGCAGGGACAGAGGGCAGCGACAATTCTGTCCCGAGGGCAGCGGTGGCAGCGGGTTGGCATCAGGTCACACGCACCATTAAAAGCGGGATATAAAATATATAATATAAAATACTTCCCGCATGCGCCATTTAATTTAACAGGGACAGCGTCATAGCGCTTAGTAGGTGACCACCTTGCCAAAAAACGTGAAGGCGTTGTAAGAAGTTTAACAGACGTGAATCCTTTAATAGAAAAACAGGCATTAAAATGGATTTCGAAGACCCGCCGTCCCTGCCTTTCACTTTTGCGGACTTTCTCGTAAAGGTACTTTTCAACCCAATGAGGGATTGAATCCCCCGTGCCCCAGTACTACACAAAATGAGCTGCAAAGCGGGGAGCAGAAAAATAAGCACCAGAGCTGCAGATGACCGTGTCCCTCAGAACAACACCTGATCCCAGTACTGGCATCAAATAGACTAAACGTTCATTAACAGGAAAATATTTTGAATTTTATTTTTTCACGTTATTATCAAGTACACAATTACAATAATGTCACACATCCCTATATGATTCTATGTATTTTGTTTTTTTCTTTTGTCTTTTTTACAAAGTGTACAGAGGGAAGGACGTATACAATATTTAACAGGGTATTTTCTACAGAACAATAATTTATATTATGTCCTTGTAAAAATCTGTACCTTTTTTAAACATTAAACTGAAACATCCATTTTATAGCATTTGCTAAGCAAATTATTTAAGAATTAAAACTAACCTGTAACTAATGTCAGTACATTAACAATAACTATAATTTCATTTTCTCTTTATACAGACAAATACATTTTACAAAATCCACTTGACCAAACCCTTAATTATTAAAAAAAAAAAAAAAAAGTTCCAACATTGTGCTTTAAAAAAAAAAAGTGTGTATGATTCCAGGCTACGTAAGAGAAAGCAAATGTGTAAAATTGTGTTCTTTGTCTTTCAGCTTATTTAAAAAAATAAAGTTCAAAATGGCTAAAATCCTCGGCAATGCTATGGGAATTTACGCAGATTTTGTACACTTTTCAGGTTTCCAGTTAGAAAACTCCTGAACGTAAGGGGGGGGGGGGGAAAGTCACAGGAGGGCACTCTGCGAGACGCAAATGGAAAATCTCTACTGGGTTTTACTGCGTCTGATTTGGCAATCAGTAGGCAACAGACAGAGCTACGGCCATGTAGAAAATCCACTGACTTCACCGGGGATTTCAACGAAGGCACAGTGCAGCACATCTGGGTATTACACACTAAAGGTTCACGGCCGGTTAGTAGCAATATTATACAAGAGCACGTCGGACAAGTCTGGGGGCACCGTCACGCAGGCATCAAAAGAAAAAAACATTATACAATAAAGGTAGTGACATGGCATTCGACTCTCCTGAACTGCAAACTAAACACAAGTATTTCGGCTTACAGTGGAACAGGAGGGCTGAGAAGTAGGAGCGGGGCTCAGTAACAAAACAAAATACAAAAGGCTTAGCAGATGCACATCTGAAAGGAAACCTTTGTCCCTTTATCACCCCAAACCTGAAATCATTCCTAACTTTACCTGCCTAGAAACAAGAGTCAACACTGGGCCAGGCTCTGAACCCTTTCCGCTAGCGAATTGCTGGTTACAAATCTATCCTAATCCGGCAGGCAGCCAGGTCGGAATTCTGCAATCCATCGTCGACCAGCGGCTTTGGTGGGAATTTGAGCAAGGGGAGCAGGGCCGGGTCCTAAAATCTGGCATGTAATTAAATGGTTTGGGTTTTTTGCTCCACAGTTGTTGTTAAGGTACATGACTTCGTGCTTGGTACATTTATGCTGTAATTAGCAAATGCTATGGCGCTATTTTATAATAGTCTTCAGGTGGCAAAATTGCATATAATAATTGTAATGTTCTCCCAGCTGTTTATAAACAGATTAAAAGAACTAGGTTAATTCTGGATACTGCACTAATTAATAAACAGCAGCTTAATGCAGCTGCTAATGGCTCAGGAAAAACATTCAGTTTAGAAACAGTTCTATCCTAAGTTACTTTTCTTATTGAGGATATCTACATTAGAACATCTCTACTCCTTATGAACGCATCTGCTCCACTCCATCCCCCTCTGAAGCCCTCACTGTAAATATCTCCGTTTCCAAAATGGAGGCACCTCTTGGTCTTAAATTTTATTCTAAAACAACTCACAATAAAAATGTGACTTGAACCAGAAACTGTTCTTTCAAAGAAATACCAATATACATAAAAGCATTAAGTTTGAGATACTTTTACCGGCACATACAGACAGTTGTGATCTATTAACTCTGCAAATGGAACAACAGTATTTTACGTTTCCAACATTAAGACAGCTGTAAATTGAAAAAAAAACCAACTCATTTGTAACACGCAAAACCTTTCAAAGACAAAGAAGCACAGAACAATAAACATGTTTGAGCATACTTTTAAATTCGCCAAAGAAAGGTAACAAATGCCCCAAACCAGTTTTTTAAATATTCTTCTCTCTGAAACCTGAATTGAAATGCAGAATAGCTTTCCGCAATAAAGTTAGATGTGTAACTCCTCAAATGGAAAATAGTTAACCTGCCACAAAGTCTGTATAGTCAAAACAAGACAATCAGGTGGGCCCTAGTGACTTTATCTTCAACATCACAATTCCCCATTTTATACACACCCCTGACAATTTTAATCAAGAGAAATTTCCTATTTTTAAAATTCACGACAAAACTGCATTAACATGGACACTGTGAGTATCAACGAGGTCAGTAAGATAAATATACTTAAATAAACTATTACGGTTGAAAAATTCAGTAAGAGACAGGGTTTACTTTATTAAATGCAACTTTATTGTTGCCATCTTTTCTTCATTTATTAAACAAACTGAATAGAATTCAGAACACGCTATTGAACAAAAAGTATAAAAGTCAACTAGAAGCAATAATCCTATTTTTATACAGCAACAAATCAAATGCACAGTATGTTTTTTTGTTGTTTTTTTGTGTGTGATCGCAGGTGATTGGCTTTAAAATAAGCTAACTGCCTGAAAGGCAAAATTCCTTTCTAATTCCAGCCATAAGTCTGTGAAAGAGACTTTAAGGCAGCCCAACATCTTTATGATGCCGCATAATGTGCTGGTTCTTCTCTGAAGGCCTTCGGAAACCTTTCTTGCAATACTCACAACGGTGAGGGTAGTCTTTTGTATGAATGGAAATAACATGCCGTTTGAAGCCTGAGGCGTCTGTAGTGCTATACTCACAGTACTCACACTGATAAACTTTCCTGCCACTGTGTGTTTTCATGTGCTTTTTCAGCTCGTTTTGTTGCCTAAAGCCCTTTCTACATCTCTTGCACCTGAATGGAAGATCCTTTGTGTGAACTGAGAGTATGTGGCGACTCAGAATGAACGGATCTGCAATCTTAAAGTCACAATGTCTGCATTGGTGCAATTTTTTACCCTTGTGAGCCGCCACGTGTTTTTTCAGTTCCGAAGGCCTGTGAAAGCCTTTATCACACATATCACACTTATGAGGATAGTCTTTTGTGTGGACTGAAATTATGTGTCGTTTCAGATCACTCGAGTTTGAGCTCTTATGGTCACAATGCAAACACTGATGTGTTTTACTTTCTTGATGCATAAGCGTATGCTGCTGTAGCTCTTTGGTATCTGAAAAAGTCTGGAAACAAATATCGCACTTGAATGGCGTTTCCTTACTGTGTTTAGTCTTTACATGAGTTTTCAAGTTAGAAGAGTCGGCAGATCGGTATTCACAATATTGGCACTGGTACGGTTTTTCACCAGTGTGGATTCGCATGTGCTTCTTGAGCTCTGACGGATGGCGAAATCCTTTGCCACACTCCACGCAAATATGAGGAAAGTTCTTGCTGTGGACAGCTAAGAGGTGATGATTCAGTAATCCTTGTTCTGCTGTCTCATAGTCGCAGAATTTGCACTTGTGCATTTTATTAACTCCTTTGTCCCTGTGCACCATCTTGTGAGTAAATAAAGTTCCTGCATGAGAGAAGCTTTTCCCACACTCATCGCACTCAATAAGCTTTTCTGTTTTGTTGGTCAGCTTATGACTCTCCAAGTGGTTATGTAAACTTATTTTTTTATTCGTAGTGTAATCACAGTCTGTGCATCTGTATTTCTTCTTAGTAAGAAGGTGCTCTGGGTGGTTTTTCATGTGCCTTTTCAAGAAACCTCTAGATTTAAATTTCTTTCCACAAATCATGCAGGGGTAGACTGTCAACGGATGACCATCAGGGCCAATGATTATTGCTGAAAAACAACAAAAATCCCTTCATTAATATTATACGACGATATTACACTTCCATAAATGTCCTATTTCAACCTTAACAATAAGATGAATTGTTAAATAAGATTATACACACACTTTACTATATAACAAGCAAGCTTGTTACTGGGCTAGGTAGAAGAAATTGAGGGAATTACTACTTTCATTCATTTTTATTATCAGGAGAAAGGAAATACTGTTTTTTGATGGAGACAACCAAAGCATCACCCGGCTGTTCTTCACCTCAAATAATTCTACTTTGAAGAACTCTGACCGAGTTCACACGTTAAATACACGCAGAAACCGACGCTGGGGCAAAGAACAGCAGCCAACTTGTTAAACTGAGTATCACATAGTAAGCGTAGCACACGATCTTCTTTGACTTTCCACGCATCTGTAGATAAAGTTTAATCTGGCAGTTTAATCACCTACCGCTGACTCCCATTCACATGTCCCCAAACTAACACCTCCTTCTTGTGCCATCTGTCACAGTTACTATCTGAAGAGGTATCAAGCAGGAATCAGCGAGAACACATTTCACATACGGACACACCTCAAAGCTTTGGAACTTATTTGGACTCATCCATCAGGCTGATTTGTTTACCCTGAATTTGTCTAGGCATGCTAAAAAGCTCTCTTTTCCAAAAATGTTTTAGAAGGAGAACTGACTAGGTAGCTGGAAATAGAAAAAGCAAACTTTAAGATTAAATTTTGCCTGGTTTACTGATTCAGTGCTAGACAAACCAGAACTCCTACAGTTAAGTCACAATTTGGCAAGAAACTTTTAGTATCATTTAAGGCAAAGCTACTAAAGAAAAGAGTTGTGTGCTTTTTCAAATTTATCAGACCAAATAGATCATTCAGACCATAACACAGCAGCAGCAGAAACCAAACAATGCCAAAGCAGTACATCTGTTCTTAGAGATGCAAGTAAGAACATTGGTGTGAACTTCAAGGCAATTTATTTCACAATTAAAACAGAAAAGGGTATAGAAGTATATATTACATTTGGTAGTGTAAATGTGCAGATTTTCCAGTTACTTATTGAGCAGATACAATGAAATTTATTGTTCAATACATTTCAATAAAGACAAAAAGGGGTTTTAAAAAGCACTATTGCAGAACACTGTTTATCTAACATCACCTTTAAAAAAGTTACATTAAATATTAAAAATGGTGTGGCAAGTTAAGTATGTAAGTTTTTAACCTTTTACTATGATACTGATTTTCTTCTGTGTCAGAGACGGTTTCCTTTAAAACAACCCCCACAATCCAAACCAACTATGTATTTAAATTTAAAGTAAAATATGCACTCATTTATGATGTAGAAGTGTTGACAAGAAAATAATTCCCAAAATAATCACTGTTTTTTACAAGACATTGCACATGCTATCAGCAAAGTACATCTGTTCATGGTTAAGTGCCTAGAGGAATGAGAGTACAGCCAGCCAGCAGATACTCACTCACCTGTTTGATACTGCCTGGACTCAGGTCTCCTTTTTTTCTTTGGTTTTTGCTTAGCCAGTCTCCCAAGTCCAGCTGACTCATCTATGTGCAAAAGAGCACTTGCAGTGCCATTCCGACTTTCAATGCCATCGTTGTTATTACCTAACAAGATAAGTTAAAAAGTTACCTACCGTCATCACTCTACAGATTATTCGAGCAACAAACTCTACAATGGTAATAAAAGAAATGATAAACTATTATCTAGACATTTAATCAAACCATAATAATGTACAGGATGAGCTGCAAAACTTCTCCGTGTGTAAATTACGAATTATGTTTGGCATTATGAACCTGGAAGCATTGGCTTTGTTAACCTAATTTTACAGGAGTACACAATTTACAGGAATTAATGGTTTTCCATTTTGCAAAGAGTTCTCCTTTAACTGCAGTTTTTGTTGCTAATTATGCCCCAAATGCTTAACATCAGTAAACAATAGCATGTCACAACATTTACTGTGCCCGATTTTCTTCTCAGTCCTGAAATAAATTCATGTGTGAGCTCCCATTCACTTCTGGGCATCTGAATTCACCTGACTGAAGTTTCTCACACACCGAGTTTCAGAACTGGAACTGCAATCAAAGAATAGTTCTGAACAGCCCATAAACTTGCACACAAAGTACACTTCTTACTAGCTGCACACCTGATGCTTTAACACTTACACATTCTTTCTACTGGCAACAAAGAGCATGCTCAGTATTGTAAAATAGAAAGAAGAGAACAATCTTTGCCTCACAGAGCTTCCTGTTTAATACAGAAACGGTATTACTGGATATAAAACAAACATGAAAATTTCAAGTAAATATATCTATATATTCGGGAAGGTATTTATTGGCAATCAGTTTAACCTTGGTGATTTAAGGGCACAAGTAAATTTTAATAACAAATTTTGTGGTTAAGTAGTTACTTGATCAATAGAAGGCAACAGTTCCTAGTGAAAGCAAAGCACACAAATAAGACAGGAAGACTGAAGTGGAAGAAAGTGCAAGATGCTCAATAGCTCTTCCCTTTGTAGAGTGCCGAGAATGAATATTCGTGGTTAATGTAAGAAGACTCAGAGCCAGGAACAGGAATGTGCGGAGCCTGAAGATTCTGATGTATTTGCTAGCTCAAGTGTTGAAGAGCAAATGTGGTAAGTGACAAACGTTGAAAGCAAAAACCCATTTCACATCTTACATGTAGGAAGTACAGTTTGCAACAGGTGCATGATGACTCCTTCTAGAGTAAAACACAAACCAGGCCTCAAACATTTTCTAATACTAGAATAAAATTGCAAAAATTTGCTGTAATATAAAGCACAGTGGGACTGGGCTTTGCTACAGTACAGCAGCAAACCAAATTTAACATTTTAAGATGCCACTGTTATCAGCTCTTAACCCTCTTTCAGTGGAGAAGAGTTCCGAGAAGCGCAGATAACAAACTTCTGCAATTTTCATGCCTGCATGCTTCATTATTTCTTCCCTTTACCCCCACTTCTCACCTTGCATGCTAGGTTGCTTACTGCTGACAATGCAATCACTCCACTGTTTCCCACATCCTCAAATTCTCCTTTCAATTCTGTCTCTCTGTTCTTAACACACTCTGCTCCACTTTCTCCTCCTTCTCCAAAATCACTGAATGTTCATTCAGTCTACAACTGTTGTTTCAAGTGAACTTAATTTCACTTTTAATTCCCAGTCAACCTGGCTTCTGTCCCTCCCTCTCCACTGAAACTGTGCTCACCAGTATATGGCCAAAGATAAGGCTCTGGGTGCACTGCCATCCATCTCCTAAACAACTTTTAACACACACTGCTCCCTGAAATCTTGCCCTCCCTTGAGTTACATCCATGATTCTAGCCCCCAATGCATTCTCAGCACTTCCCCACCATTTGCCTGCTGGCACCATCACCACAATCAACATCATGCAGACATATAACCTAATTTCTGTCCTCTACACCACTATTTCTTCTGCTTCATTTAGAAGGAGAAAGGGACAATATGGAAACATTTCTAAGATGAGATTTTGGTCTACCAGTTTATGTAAGTTGTGGATATCAGTTTGTGCACCAGTTGGTGCTCAGATACTAATGATCAAGAAAAATGGTTCTGCATGCTGGAAATATTCTCAAGGTTCTGCTATAATTTTAAGATGTCTCCCTCCAGCTTCTTTTTTGTTAATCAATTAATTATTTCCATTAGTGAAATCATATATTTATATGTTCCTTCTAGAAAGCACTTAAATCAAGCTAGAGGTCAGTGTTGCTTTTCACTGTTACACTGAATCTTACATATTCCCATCTGCTTCCTTCCTTCCTGCACCCCACCCCCCCAAATATTCAGTTCTATTCCCAAGCCAGCTCTTAACTGTGTCCTAAAACTGTGAAGGACAGATGTACACGAGATGCAATTTTTCAGCTGAAAGCTCGTGTACTTCCCCTTCTACATCATGAAAATATGAAGGAAAATGCCTGCTAAAATAGGAGTAAGAAGCCTGCCTTACAGCTTCTCTCTTCTTCTCTTTTTAAGGCTCATTATGCCAAGAAACCATTCTTAAACTAAAACTTTAACAACAAATACAAAAGCACAAATACTCCACTACCCTCCAAAAAACAATCCCTGACATTTTGCTATAGACAGTGTCACCAGGAAGAATTGAGTATTACCTACCATAAGCTGCTGCCCAAGCTATGGGCATGAAAGTTTTAATTTCAGTGTCATCAATTTGCTGTTCATGGGCCACTGCTGCATCCTCCTCTCCTACAATCACTTCCATGTAAACCTCATCAGCTATTTCTGCAACATCTAAGAGAAAAAGAAGTCAAGAAAAAATTAATAGGAACACTGCACTGCTGAAAGTGAAAATCCCTGTTCCCAAATGAAAGCCACCTACTTACTTAAGTCTTCATCTTCATGCTGAGAATCATTTACAGTCATGTAAACCATTTTCTCCCTTGGAATACGAATACTGCTATTTTGATCAAGTAGTCCAACTGCGTGGTCATTCTCTGGCTCACTCTCCACAATGTCTACTGTGCCCCCTAATTAGGAAGACCAGAACAAAATATTTTAAATACGCTTTGTTCAAATTCTGCGCTAAACTGCAGAAAATTGAGTTGTCACTCTTTTAACATCAGACCCACAGCTCTTTACAGATGACTTGAGAGAAACCACAGCCTCTAATTATACAAAATTTCAAATGTCAGGTTGGAGTATTCTAAAATGAGCATATTTTACCTAAGTCATCTTCTCCAGGATCTGCTTTGAATATATAGACCTTGATGACTTCTGGACAAATGCCATCCACTTTACAAGAGCCACTTTCTGACTCTGCTTCCATGGTAATTTCAGCAGAACCTTCGTGTTCTATCTTACCAGCATCATCCACTACAAAAACAAGTTATTACAATTACCCAGTCATATACAGACAGACATACATGAAAGACTTTATTACTTTATTACTCAAATTTGGAAGCAGTTTAAAATTAAAAAGTTGTGATAAAGAACATACCCATAAATATTTTTTTCATATCCTTGAAAACAATGACAATAAACACCAAAATAAATTCAAGCCGTATCTTCTACTTAAGGGGGAAGTGCAAAAGTGCTGCAGTGATATGACTAGAAGCATGAACACCACACCAGGCAATGCTAATAGGGAAACAGTGATCTGCAGCAAGATGGTGGTAGGAAGAAACTGCACGTTAGTACTTACTCTGTGGCATAGTTTCACTTATTCTCAGTTTTAATTGCTTTCTCCCTCACAACTAATAACGCATTAACTGTTTTTTTTCAAAAGCATTATCTGTTGCTCAACCCTGCCTCTAATGCAAGTGGTACTACTGCTGCCAGTCAGACGTGGTTCCTTGCAAAGCGGTGTTATTGATGCTTCTTCAGCTAACTAGAGAGGAAACCTAAATGAAAACTACAGGAAGAAAACCCTCCACTTTTCTCATCCACTCAATAGCCAAGGGATCAAGCACAGTGTCAAAGTGCTGTCCTGATGCCACAGCACCAGTGAACCTATTCAACTGATTGTTCATGGTGCCCTTACTGCAAGGGACTTGCACTGGATTTTATGCTGTAGCCCTATATACTCTCCTTACTATCATCTCAAATTTTGTTCTCTTGCTTTCAGAACTGTACCGACACCACGCTTCAGTTTCAATTGCCGTAACTTCCGAGGCCTCCCACATAAACATGGCTAACAGCCAGCTTTATGAGGAACACATTTCTGATTCTTAAGACATACTCTACACAGGCACGCAAACACACACACCATCTACTTTACCCAGCATGGGTTTTCAAGAAAAAAATACTAAATATGCGTTCACAAAAATCAAAGCCAGCATCTCAAGACCTTCAGAGAATCTCCCAACTTCAGAAGCCCCAGAAGTTTGAGGGTTGAGATTATTTAAGAATTCCTAACATGACGGCATACTTTTGTAATTTGTGTCTTTATTGTTCATAAAGTCACTTTTGGAGGCTAATATGGCTCCCTCAGAGCCATGCATAACTTCAATTCATGACAAGACGACATGAAAGTTATACTAAAGGAAGTGTAAGAACCGTCCCATAAATGTTGTAGAATTTTTAACTACCATGCCTAGCACATACAAAATACTTAATGAAGTATGCTCATTTTACTGGCACTCATTAAACTACCCTCATAACTAAATCGTAGCTTTACTACTCAGTAACTGCAACTCTTCCATTTCATTTAAGACTTAAAAAAAAAGAAAAAAGCTCAAAATGTCATGACTATATTTTCCTGCCATGAAGTCAATAAATTAGCCTTTAAATTAGATAAACTAGCACGTGTTCTGCCTCATGTATCAAACACAACTGTATTTAAGTACAGTTTCTCAATCAGGCAATGTTATTCACACAAAAAAATGAATAACATTAAATTATGAAGCACTAAAATAAATTAGTCTATCTCCCTCCTCACCAAAAAAGCAGCAGAAGAACATTAAATAGTCTTATGCCACGTTCATGATCAATGGCCACCACACAGAATACTTCAAGCAGTAAGATGTATAAAAAATGACTTCGTGTCACGGGACAACATAACATCCTGTAGCTGAAACCCCAAAGCATTTCAAAAGTAAAAACCTTAAGATGTTCTTTTGAATCATGTTAACAACGTAGCTCCACAGCACGTATATTCAGTTATTGAGCAGACTTTCATAAATTCTTTGGCATATGCATGAAACACCAAACGTCACTGGAACTCTAACAAAAAAACCCTTGCTTTCGTTCCTACACTAGATTTATGTAGTTGTTCTCCTTTAACTTGGCTGTTTCCAGTGTCACGCACGTGTACTTGGAAGGCTTTCAAATCAGCGTAGACCAATTTTACACCGCTGAAGCCAAAGGGGGAAGTCTGCCACCAAGCTCAACTGATGCTGGAACATACTCAAGGAAGGAAAATTATGTCTGAAGCAATCAGAGAGAAAACAAACCTACATGCACCATGTGAAACAGGCTGGTTTCTTTTAACCAAAACAGAGTTTTTTACTTCCATACATATATGGAAGTATCCATTGATAACATTCACACAACAGAAGAATCCTAGATCTTAAAAATATTCTCCATTTACTCTTCGAAATAAGTTCTCCAAGGTTCAAAGTCATCTTTTAAACAACATGATTAAAAAAAATCATTCCACCGTTTAGAGTTTGTTTGTTTATCCCTGATTTCCCTCTATATTCAACAATATTTTAAAAATGTAACAACTGGTTTAAATATTTTTTTGACAGTGCCATGAAAGTGTAAGGAAACTGACGTGGAGGGATATTAGGCCAACTTTTCTCAACCAAAAGGAAAAAATTTCACTATTGATAGATGGTAATACTTGAAAAACTAAAGTCCCTGAAGGCCTTGAAAAGTAATAGCATTTGCAGTATAGTAGCAAACAGGTAACAGGAAAAGTAGGGTGGAAAGAAAAAGGTTGAAAAAAAGATAAAAATCAGAAGAGACAAACAAGATGAAAGAGAATGGGTATCTATCACACAAAGTACCATTTCCATGGTATTTTGTCCTATGGCTACATAAGCATTTATCTACACTTGATTCATTGATGCTCTGGCAGCATTTATGAAATTTGATTTCTATTTAACACTTTCCCTATGTTTCTGCATTCTCCACATATCTCAGTCTCACAATCAGAGAAAATTATATTCATAAATACTTGACTGATCAATGTTTGAAGTTGGAACTCTGATGATGTTTGAATTTTTCATTTGAATTCACAGCCCATCAAGGGATCCCACAAATACCGTGCATGACTGATCTTCTCTCACACTGTTCCTCTTTGAAATTACAAAAAAACCCCCAACCCCAAAGGACTTAAAAGTATTAGTTAAGCTTATAAGAGACCACTTCCTTTCCAGTAGAGATGCTGGGCAGTTACTACACTCATCAGAAGTCACATGCTAGAAAAAATGCTGTCGTTCCTTGTGCCTTCATTTAATTACATATTAACTGAACACTAAAACCCTTAAATGTATGATTTTTTTTTTCTTTCTACTAGCTGGTAGCTTTCTTTCAGTAAGCAAGTAGATTCAGACTAATTCTCTAAGTTAAAAAAAAAAAAAGAAAAAAGGAGAAATTATTAGACACAACATTATTTTACATAAATTGCAAGAATGCATTCTATGGTTAGTTTCCTGACATTCTTCACAGACTTCACCGATTAGAGCAGACTGCTTTTTGCATACTATGAGCTGCAAGAAACAACCAAAAAACCTATGCGCTTCTCCAATGTTGCAATAATTGCTTCCATACAAAGATAATGCTTGAATTTTTATTAAAAGCACAAACAGATGAGAAAGGTGTCACACAACATGAAAGACGTGGCATATTCAAAGCCCATCTAGTTATCACAGGGAAACAACAAAAGGAGAGCAACAGATTAAAAAAAGGAATAGAGAGTAAAACAAAGAAATAAAAGATGCAGGCAACATTAACAACAGACTGATTGTTTAATATGTGTTCTATCACGATGACAGCACTGGTCTCCTAGAAAAACATTACATCTAATAAAAAAAATCATATAATGTCATAAACTATAATGTCCAATGAATAATTATCTCCTATATCTTTACCCTCCTATTAAAATATATCCAATGGCATTTTGGGGACAGAAACGAGCTCCTGTGTATTGATAATAAAAACAATATTTAAAACCCAGCTGAAGCCAGTTTCCCCATATAGTAGCATAAATGCTAGCCCAAGATCCTGCATACTGCATTTGCTTAAATGGTATCTCTTTTGTTTAACCATGACACATACACTTTCCCCAAGAAGTTGGTTTTATTTTGTTATATCCAGTATTTACTGGATCAGCAGATGCAGACTTTGTAGCCTTGCAGTCTTTTACTCCTAACTAGAAAAATGCAAATATCTGTAACTGTCTTTATTTTTTTAATGGTTTCCATAAGCTTTTACTTTTATTCCTTCCTACCATTTCTCGTCTATATGGGATTAATGAGGAAAATAAAGGGATTGTAAAAGATAAAATTCACTCAAGCACTAAGAAACCTTCCATCTTTTTCAAGTACACACTGCTCATTGCTAAATAATACACCAAAACAATTCTTACAAACATTCTAAGAAAAAGTCTGTCTCTGCACCAGTTTAACAGATCTTGAAATCTGTCTATGGAGCAATTAGACGAGAATCATCTACTTTGTCAGCCTTTATGTTCCCAAATGATTCTCTTTGCTGCTAAAAAAATGCGTATCATGGGATACTTGCCTGCTTACAAAATAAACAACCCTATTTAACCATCCTTAATGAAAAAGGCCACTCCTAACTATTCTGTTTTCTCTAAAATAGATTAAAAGCATGCTGTATTCCCCAGACAGGCTTTGTTCAGTTATCTGTGATAGAAACATTTTACTTGTACTTCACTTTATAGCAGAGAATTCCTAGTCCACTGAAGAAGTTATTTTTACTGTCATTTCTTAAATGGCAAAGCAGGTTTTCTAACCTGTGACAAAACAGAAATCTGTTCTATTTTGGTTTTAATGCCATTGCCATTACACAGGAGCAACAGTATACCCTATGCATCTGAAGCTCCCCTCAGGGCAGCAATCTAGCAGAGGAGAACTTCCTGAGCTCCAAACTGGTATCTAACACTTGTCCTTCTCATCCTGCTCTCCCCACCATGCAAATCAGACTAAGCTCCGAGGCATCACTCAGCCCGAGGGAACTGTCATCTCCGTCACCTCTCATGGTGACCTCCTGAGCAGCCTCGGCTGCAACAACTGTTGGTGCATTCCGGTGGTCAGGCAGAAGCACGGCGGCAAGTTCCATCTCACAGAAAGAAAAACGTGATTCCCTGCATCTTTAAGAACCTCCGGGGCAAAAGAGGTAGGTATTTATTTATGCAGTCATTATTCTCTCTCTTTCAGTACCCTGGGTTCTGACTCCTGTAATGAAAAGTGTAAATTGAGATACAACAAAAAAAAGACACATCTAACTCAGAGCAAAGTAAGGGTATGGATGGACATAACATAGCCCCTGTATTTGCAAACACTGTGTAACTTCCTAAAACTGAAGCTTAAACTTTGTGAGGCTACCCTTCACTCCCTCCAGACTCCCCTTGTCAAACCTCCTTTGTGCCTCACCATTTTTACTGCAATTAAATATGACTATATTGGAATACAACTTTTTGTCTTATGGAACTGGTTCACGCCAGAGGACATATCTTACTTTGCCAAGCTGAGTAAAATCAGACAAGCAAAAATCTTCATTTCTATCTTATGGCCAGGTATAAGGCACTACTTGCCTTGGTTAGTAAACACAGGGGGTTTTTTGTTGTTGTTTTGACAAACACTAGCTAATCTCACCATTATTATTTAACTTATGGAGAAATGATTTTCCAAGCCTTAAAAGTTGCTACCAAATAATTAGTACCAGTGTGAGCCAACACACAATTTATCCGTTCCTGACCAAACTCATGAACTGGCTTGTTATGGCGTACATGAAAGAAAAACTGATTTATCAAACCTTCTTGAATCCTTTTCAAGCTACTAACTAGTAGCAGTTTGCATTCTTTGTTGAATGAATATCTGATTCTGCTCTGCTGTAAATGCCCCGAATCTACCATGGACCAAAAATAAAGCTTGAAGGCAAAGGCAAAGTATCCAAGAAAAAAGGTGAGTACATCAAAAGTTAAGTGATAATATAAGCTGTGCCAAGAAACATTATCTTGGAAATGAAAAAAGCAAAGGCGTATCAATGCAGAAGCTAAATTAAATCTAAATGGGAAAAGAAATATTAAAATACTGAGCTTATTGAAGCAAAGTCACAGAATGAAACCCACAGGGACTGTACTCTTTGAAAAGACAAACCAGTTTGAAACGAGGAAAGAAGCTAAAAGCACAACATTAAAAAAAGTACACATAGATTAGTCATTTCAAAACAGGTATTTTCAGGATAAAGCTAAGAAAATTATCTTATTTTAAGAAAATCTATGTAGACTCAGTTCATTAGGAACAAAAATGGAAATGCTTAAAGAGAGCCACAAGATAGGAGGAAGACAGCAAAAAGATTTTGCCAATAACTTCCATTGAAGAATACTGACTGAGAAACCTACGACAGAAAGAACACAAAGTGTCACCCCCTGCTTTGCAAGTGATTAGCTAAAAGAAGACAGGCAAAAGCATCCTGAAGAACACGGTCTAGCTCCCAGATCTGGGAAGCAGCTACATTTGGCTACTCTAATGGCAGACAAAATTACATTCCAACATCTGCCCCAGCAGTTCAGGGAAGTTTGCCAGAATCAAGCTCAAATTTACAGGTTAGGATGAAAAAAAATCAGAAACTAGGCTGATGTTACTACCTTTTAAAAACCAACTAATACTAAGTTCAACTAAAGCACTGAGACAGTCAAACAGATCAATAAACACATATACAGCCAAGGCAAAAAAAAAAAAAAAGGAAATTAATTCAAATAATGTTTTCAATACAACGAAGAGACTATTTGGCAAGATAGTCTTTACTTGAAGGAAAAGCACTAGACTCTGACTTCACAACCAGAAGAACTTGTTATACAGGCTTTAAACACAGTAGGTGGTAATAGGGAACTTCCCTTTAAAATGAACTGTAGAACATACTTAACGTTTTAAAGACAAACAGAAAGGATGCGTGTTTTGTAGCATAACGATTGTTTTAAATGCTGGCTTTTTTAAGATTCTGAATCTAAACAAAGTATATTGCAAGACTCTCAAGAGGCATTTAATGTTAAATAAAGTATGAAACTGCAGAAATAGATGACTGAAAAAGGAGAATGTCCCAGCAAAACCAAACAATTAAATTCCTTTGTTTTCTGCCAGTTACCACCCACTGACGACTGGTACATCTAAGACGACTTCCTACCTGGGTGGGTATTTTAGGGATCATGCAATATGGCACCCACCAAGGCATTCTGTCCTCATTCAGCCACTGGCAATGGTTGAATGGGACACGTATCCACCCACCCCTCTCACGTGAATTTACACAGACACAGTTTGCAAAGTGTTCCTGCGACAGCAGCCCCAGAGGCCTCACTCTGCTGCTCATGCTGCAGAATGACAACCCGCAGGGGAAGGGTGAGCAGACAGACAGGAGCAACCGCATCTTAAGAGCTACAGTCAGGGATAAGAAACAGGTAAGGATCACCACCAGAGTCTTGACACAGTCAGGCCTCAATTACCTGTAGGTGGGTTGTCCACTTTGTTGCCTAACTATGCTGCAGGTGCAGAAACATTTGAGCTGCTTTCATGTGATCTAACTCAGGTCCAGAATCAGAAAGTTTTATCTGTACCATACTGTACAGACTGCATTTTTATTAGTTTGGATAAATACTATTTCAGAGAGCAGCATCCCTGGCCTATTTCACCTCAGTATGATCTTGCAGCTTAATTTTACAATATTTTCTGTTATCCATATTTTGCATTATCCCATTTCATTGTTTTCCCAGATAATAGAGAATTAACTGTACCTCATATAAACTCAAAACATGGCTGCACAAGGTTACTCAAGGAACTCAAGAGATGATAAATTAAGAAATGCAGTGATCCTAGGTAAGGAGAAGCAACATTAAAATCCATAAGTACAGAATATAAAATTAAAACAAGTTATTATACATTTCAAAAAAGTGTCCAAAGGTAAAAAAAAAAAAAAAAAAAAAGAAAAAAAGAAAAGGGAAAAAAAAGGTAACTGAAGCAGAGCATGAAGTATACCTCATCAATAGAGTCATTTAATGCTGGACAAAATTGAAGTGCCTGAAATGGCAATTAAACAAACCAGCCTAACACAGCTTTTCTATTTCTACGACAGTCGGTCGACACTCTGAAGTTCCTAGGTGCTGCATTGAGCAATCATTATATTAAGTAACATACTTAGAGCAAGCTCTAGTTCACACAAATGGATATCCTCAATAGAAAAAGTATTGATGATATGCTTTGTTTTTCTCCACCCTTTACTTTTAAGTCTTTTGAAACAGGATTCAAATGGATTGTGCCACTGTTCCTAAGGGAGATTAAGATATTCACAGTTGCTTCTCAGCTACCAGCAGCAATAGCTACTCTTTCTGTTGGCAGCATACCTCTGTCCTTTGCTTCATCAAGAGAAGAAAACACATCCCAACAGCAAAGAAAACCACACTGTCGCCTGTATCTAATTGTAAATGGGGTGGAAAGGGTGGGGGCTGAGCAAAAAACAAGACAAGGATAACAAATTGTTGTTTGGACTTCCGAAAAATTGGGGGTGGGGGTGGGTATTTTTCCTTTTCCATGAAATAATTTTGTTTTCTTCATGTCTTGGCAGTAATCTTAATAACCTGCACATACATGCATTTTCAAACAAGGTCACATTTCTCTTCATTCTGTTCTCACCAAGTATATGGCATTAGTTTACTGGAATTCTTACTCTTTGTTCATATGCTATAAAATGCTACAGAAATAATTTATAATCAGACATGCATTTGCCAGTATTTCTCTCCATTAGCTTCACCAGAATTTTTAGCTGGTACATGTTCCTAAAAATACCCCCATTTGAGTACATATGTGTGATCTGCGTTACATTAAATAATACAGAAAATCTGGTTTTGGTACTGTCGTAAGCCCTCCCTCAGATATTTCAAACACCACCCAAGCCTGTATCATAAGAATTTTGATGGCTTTACTCAGACACTTACAGGAAATCATAAGGTAATCTTCACAGTTGCCCTTTTCATCTTGATGTTCCACAGGGATTCCATTGGCATCGATGACTGCCTCTGATGCACAGTCTGCCACCAAGACTTCCTCAGAAACAACATCTGTTCCCAGAGTATCAGTGACAATATCTGCTTCTTCAACATTATCATGAACTACATGTTCTACATGTCCAACTTCAGGTACATGCATTGACTCACTTGTCAGTACATGTTCTGGTATAGACATTGCTTCTGCTGTTATGTCAGAAGCTAAAACGTCATCTGGGACGGTGCAATGAGCCAAAGAAACCTCTTCGGCTACATCTGTGTCCAGCACTTGTTCAGGAATAATGACAGTTTCAGATACGTCTGGCTCCTCCATGATATCTGGGCACTGAACATCCTCGATAACAACATCCTCAATGACATCTTGGATTACTACAGAATCTGGATCATCAGGAACAAAATTATGCACGGTTATATCTGAGTCGACTACATCTGAAACAAACACTGTTTCCTGTACTTCCACAACAATCTGATCTCCATCCATATGTGCTGCATCAGCTCCTGAAAAACATAATTGTAACAGCAGTTAAATTGTAAAACTAACTCAGATGAGGTGGTTAATAATTGAAATGACTTCTATTTTACTTCAACTTTTACACTATGCTGCAATTTAGTAAAACAGGCGTTAACAGCCTATGAGCAATAAAGATAGGCAGATATACGGGGAGCAAGTCCTCCGTAGATGCTAACATAACTAAGATGAACAACATTTTCTCTCCTGGAAAAGATTACCAATTTTTAGACTCTCCCCCAACATTCAAACAACTATTACTTGACAGAACAGTAGCTCATTCATATTGCTCTGAGTAATAAAAACAAACAAAAATCGAAAGCAACTACTCTATACAAAAGCAATGATGCAGCACACCACTTTTAAGCAAAGACAAAATAAATGACAGTCAGTTGCATCTAATGCAAACACTCTTATCTACATACTACCTCCTGACAGACCTGTTGGATCAAAAAATGCATTTGGCTCATGTGGCTGCAATTCAAGCCCATCTTCATCCATGGCCTTTAACTCTCATCAGTCACAGTGTCTGTAGAAGGTAAAGAAGAAAGGTTATTTAACTTGTATTAGGCCATGAAGGTTGTCTCTGCCTGTGCACTGAAAAGCAGAAATTTTGGGTGCATGGAAGTTAGCAGGAAGTTAACACCTCTTGACTTTGAGATGGACCAGATTTCACTCAGGGTACCTCTGTTTGGGATTCCAGAAATACTACTCTAGAACCACCTAACACCCAGGGTCTGAGTAAAAGCAGTGTGAGCCCAAACACTCCCGGTCCATTTCTCAAAACCCCACAGCTCCACAAACACGGAAGCAGCTGATAAAGGGATATGAAAACATGATGTCCTTATAATCTTACAAAGAAAAAAAAAATGAAGGCAAAGCCTAGACAAGTTCACACTCGAGTCTTTTTTGGATGGTGGGGAATACAGTGTTGTCAAATCAATAAAGCTCTAAGCTAAGTTAAAGGTAGACAGCCAGTAATCTGAAACGCATGCTGCTTTTGATGCCCCCTGTGTTCATACTTGGGCAGTCAGGAGGAAGTGACTCTTATGTCACTTCAGGAATTGAAACTGCTTCCAGAACATAACATCGTATGTTTTCAAACCTCAGATGCATGAATATTTTAAAAAATCCTGCCCCGAGACAAAGTACAGATTTGCTTTTGTATTAAAAAATATCACCAGTTCTCAAAAATTACCAAATGTCATACTCTACCAAATTTCTTTGCACAGAATGTCAACATTTCTTCAATGCATAATAACAACTTAAGACGTCAATCTTCTTAACAAAATAACCAAACAAGATCACAAAGTTAAAATACTTACTAAAACCTGAAACGGCAATCTAAATTTTGCTGCTTACATATGTGCATTATAATTAGGATCAGGCAAACCTAGTTGGGTAAAATGTGATCTAACATAAACTTGTACTACTCCCTTGCACTTAATCCAACTAGTTTCCTAAATGCAGAACCAGCAAGAGGCAACAGAGTGTTGCTATATGTTTCTGCTCGTGTTTCTGTACAAATGGAAGATGCGATTCTCCTTCCTCCAAACATCTTTCACAGTAACAGGCAGAAATCTCTCCATTCCTGTGATACTTTCACAAAAGACCTGGAGAAAACATTAAGATTCTGCCCAAGGTTTCCGTAAGAATCATAACCTTTCCGAATTACGTCAACTAACATTTACATTAATTAAGTCTTCATGGGGGAAACTGCTATACAAAAGAAAAAATTTAACCACCACTCCAAAACACAAACCTACAACCATAATCTGTAGCAAGCATTTTCTAGAATTCACCATTTTTCTAGCCCAACTTTTCTCAAATCTTTGCAGCTAACCACCTGATTTATATATCAGAAAATGTATTTTTACAGGTTGAGGGAGAAATACAGCCAGAAGGAGGAAAAGCAGCAGCAGTCTAATAAGTTTTCCTAAGGGGTCCCGTATTTGTGTGATGTTCAGTCGGAAGGCCCCTATATTTTAAAGACAGCTGCGCTAACAAATCATTGTAGTGTCCAGCTGGACATAAATCACCTCACAATTATTCTGACTGTCAAGTATTTCTGTCAGAAGCACCCACTATTAACAGAACAGCTCTTCACACAGATACTTTTTTCAGAATCGAGAGCAGAAGAAAAGCATTTCTCAGCCTCAGATACAAGACACAGCTTGAGTGACAGCAATCAACTCCGGCCATGCCACAGAAACAAGAACAGAACAACAAGGTTTCATAGCCATTTAAGCAAGAATTACTCATACCCAAGTTGGTTTACTTCCATCTGTTCAGTACATACCTAGCCAGTCTATTACAAATGTCTTTCCTATTCATCTTGCCATCTTTTCTGTGTTGTCTCCACAGTTTAGCTTCTTCTTTTCTGTTGCTTCTTCTCCAACTTCTTGTGTGCCTGTACCCATACTACGTTCCTCACCTCCTCACCCGCTCATTTCATCTCTCCAGCTTACAACTACAGCACACTCCCATCGTTCACACAAAACCATGCTACTCATCAATTTGTAGCAAAGACTGTATCAGCAATTCACAGATTTTTTTTATTTTTTTTTCTGGAGGAGGCAGGGGGGATTAAGCGTTGGCAGAAATAAACTGCCTCTCTCCTCTGGCAACGCAAACCTAAGAAGATAGCACTCGCTGTCCAGCTATCTGGGAAAAGTCAAGATGCTGTTTCTGCCTGTGCTTTTGAGGATTGTATTATCATACATATTAGCCTCTGATCGGCTGGGACCCAGCCAGCTTGAAGTGTCAGTTCACCACTAGCTACTGGAAGAACTGGCATTCGTTTTCTCCACTTCCTGCTTTCATCACTCAACCATCACGCCACCACAAATTCCTACCTCTTATGATTCATGCATGTACTTTCTCTATCCTATCCTCTCCCCAAATTCCTCACTGTCTCTATGAGCGAGGGTCTCCATCGTCCTTCCGTCTATCCTCTTCACCCACGCGACCCGGAGGCTGCCGCCACTACTTCTTGTCTTCCAAAACACACCCGCTGACGCCATCTCTTCACTGCTCCTCTCACTGCTGCCCAGATTCCAGGTAACAGACGCTAAAACCTATGAGTCTCAGTGGTGTTCACGACAGTGCAGTTTCAAAAAGACACTTCCACCAGCAGTGACAGCCCAGCAGACCTTCAAATGCATGCTCTGTGTAACAGCGTGGCCTCTTGTGTATCAGCAAGGTCGTTTCACCTACAGGGGCATACTATCTGCAAAACAAAGGCTCAGGTTCTACACAAACTGAAGAAGTTTCCAGGGCACATGGGTTTTCAAGACTGAGTCTTAAAAAAGCCACAGATTTATGCTTTGGTACTTGTTCCAAAGAAGAAGAAAAAAACCCCAACCCTTTCACCGAATGAGTTTCTTTCTAGATAAGGTTTCCCATAACACGCTTTTGCACCCGGACCCAGCCAACAAATTCACGTACACAAATTCCTACCCCTGTGCAGGACCAGGAAGACTTTAGAAGTGCTCCACGAGGGCACAGACCCCACCTCCACAGAAAGTTGCTGCAGAAAGAGGACCAGAATAAGATGCAGGCATTTAAGACAGGATTTAACTGAACTGTTTAAAATTATAAAGGTGCCTAAATCAAAATCTGCAGTCCAAAAAGGCATCCAGGCATCTGTCAGTGGATGGGGAAAAAAAAAAAAACAAAACAAAACCAACCCTAAAAATTTCCTGAAATCATTTCAGGGTTTGAGCATTCTAACCAGTAGATGTGAAAATACTGTGTTTCTTCCCGCTTGCTCCTCTTCTAAGCAGTAGGCCAGCACAGGGGCCCAAGATTCAGCCACACAAAGGAAGGTATGCCACATGGTTCTGTACCAACCGGCGGCTCCGTGATGAAGGCACTGTTCTGCAACACGAGAAATACCAGAGCTTCTTGTTGGGAGCACCGCACCGAACACCTTCAAATTCCCTGGCAAGCTCCCTAAGCTCTGTGGTACCACAAGGCTAAGAAGCAATTCCAGTAGTTCATTTTCCTGCAAGATTTCAAGAAGGGTAGAGACTTCTCTCCTTTTTTTTTGTAAAATATTCCAGCCAACACTTACCTCGGGAGCAGGTTCTGGCACCGAAGCAGACAGAATCAATTTTCAGTTCAAGTCTGGGAACCTAAACTGTCAAGGAGAAGCAGGTGCCCAGCCATGTCCCTACACTTACTCCTTCTCAACACCCAAATCTACGTGGCTCTTTATTCAAATCTCAGTAATTCGGGAACTGCCCTTCTACCACTACGACAGAAAAGGCCTAGGCACCTAAAACCAGGTTTTATACCTCTGAAAAGAGCTAAACATCTACGTCTTCCACTTGGCTTGGGTCTGTGCCAGCTTCACATGGATTGAGAGTTAATACAACTCTAAAATACACCTAATTCCACGTGTAAAGTTAGTTCTTACAAATTGACTTTAACCTGTTTATTCAGAGACTTGGCTGGTTTTGGTTTTATGAAAGTCAAGGCAGTATTTTCAAGCAGAAGGACAGATAGAAAATGATATATTAATGGAAGAAATGGTATTAAGCTATTAGCAACAAAATAACCTCCCAAAATAAAAATGGGTATTTTCTGTAAAGCTGATCTTGAGTACCGTCGGTCAAGAGAAGCAACGCAGAGAGCGCACTAGTCTTGCCACATTACAAATCCTTGACTCAATAGGCCTTGCAAGGTAATCAAGATGAAATAAAAAGAAATAGACGAGCTGTCACGCTTTAAAGACAGAACAACTTTAAAAATAGAGTTCCTTAGAAGGAAGAGCTTTAATATGCACAGAAACTGTCAGTTCGTCTGTTCTCATCAAAGAAAGGGAAAATAGGAAAAAGAGAAAAAGGAGAAACTTCAGAAAAGCCATCTTTATGAAAAAGAAATATGTAAGACAGTCCTCTGCCTGCTCCTAACGAAAGAACAGTACTTCTGCTTATTTGCAGTAAGGGCATAAACCAAATACCCACGCAGCAAAACTCTGACCCTTCCCAGAAAAATCAAGGCATAAACGGCAAGAATTCCAAGCCCTGGCCCCTACCTATGCTGAGACAACTTAAGTGTACAACCATAACCAGGTTCCCGTCATGCCTTGCTACACCACATTAAAAATTGCAGCATGCCTTGCATGTCCCAATTGGGTTAGAGCCCCGAGCTACCCGAAGCTTCGCTGTGGTTATGAGACGACTGTGGGTTCAGTCTACACTATTGCTGCAGTGTCACAACTCTCCCTACGTGACCCACTTACGGGGAATGCGATGTACACACAAGCTCTCCATCACACACACATGAAAGGTAGAAAAAAATTATACTCCTATGGCATCCAATTCTTATCTTGGAAATAACCCCCGTTATTACTAGGTGAATAAATGGAAGAATAAAAACGATGTTACAAACGTGACGGTGTAATCATTTAGTTGTTTATTTCTTGATGCATCTCCCTCAGTTTTGGCAGGAGAATCAGGACTGCTGCTTCCACTGCGATTTCGTAAGAAATCTCAAGTCTTTTCCTCTTTGTTGTAGTTCGGTATTTGCAAAAACTGGTTAAAGAAACGGGTTTTGTCCAGATTTCACGGGGATGTTGCGAGCCGGGCGGCACCCAAGCTAATTGTTTAACGAAACCTAAATTAGGGAAATAACCAGTACCGGGTGCCCTTTTGAAACTACTTTCCACTCAGCTGGGGGGCCTCTGCAGGAGAGGGGAGGAGAACCCAGCACCAAGGCGAGGGAGGGGGCTCCGCGCCTCCACAGCCGGCTGCCCTGCGGGGTGGCTGGGCGAAGGAGACCGGGGACGAACCTCTCACCGCCGCCCGAATTCCCGGCCGGGAGGAGAGGAGAGGAGAGGAGGCCGTGGCAGGAGTGTGTGTGTGGGGGGGGCCGACGGCTGGCAGCCCTGGCACGGCCGCACAGGAAGCCGCCATGGGCCGGAAAGCGCCGAGCTCCCCTGCGACTCGCTGGCTGGCAGGCGGGGAGGAGGGAGAAGCGGCGGGGAGGGGGTGTGGGGAGGCTACGGGCTCTCCCTCCTTCGGAGCTTGCGGCCCGCAGCTGCGATGAGCGGGGCCAGGGGCTCCCCCCTCCGGCCCGGCCTGCGCGGAGGCACGGGCTCTGGCGAGCGATTAATTCAAGATGGCGCCCGGCGCCCTCCG